CCTCCTCCTCCTCCTCCTCCTCCCCCTCCTCCCCTTCCTCCTCCTCCTCCTCCTCCTCCTCCTCCGCCTCCTCCTCCTCCTCCTCCTCCTCCTCCTCCTCCTCCTACGGGTTGAATGAAGCGGAGGCGGATAGCTTCATGTCAAAGTAAGGGGTGAGCCCCTCGAAGAGGAGGATTGCGAGTTTTCTTCCAAGAGGGGGGGGGGGCCTGTCGCTGGCCCTCGGCGCGCTGCGCCGCGCCGAGGTGACAAAATGGCCCTCTCTGATGGGCCCCCCCTTGGGGTTTGGGCCTGAACCGTCGGGGCTCTCTCTCTCTCTCTCTCTCTCTCTCTCTCTCCCTCAGTGGCGTGCGATCCTCCTCCTCCTCTTCCTACTCCTCCTCCTCCTCCTCCTCCTCCTCCTCCTCCTCCTTCCCTCCTCGTCCTCCTCCTCCTCTTCCTCCTCCTCCTCCTCCTCCTCCTCCTGCTACGTCAGCGCAGACAAGAGCCCCAAGCTCGTCAGGCAGGAGATCCAGCTCAAGAAGCTGGCAAGGATTGTCAACAACGCCAAGCAGGACCTCAACCCCAAGATCCACCGCGCCGATGGCTACCTCTCCATCGACAACGTGCCCACCGTCCGCATCCAAGTGGGCTCCCGCCCTGAGATTGCGACCGAGATCCAATGGTCTGATGCTGCTGATGGCGTCGGCCTTACTCCTGCGATGCGGTCTTCTTGTGCCGACGCCCTTGCCGCTGCCTTCGCGGATGCAGCCACATCAGTGTGGTGGATTTAACAGCAAGTGGACTCCATGGAACGCGACTACCGCATCATCTATGACCGAATGCTCGGTGGTCAGCTGGAACGCCCAGGCGCTGGTACACTCGAACACCGTCAAGCGCGACGCCAAACTCTCCATCCTCAAGCCCTACCTCGCCAAGCGCTCCCTCATTGCCACTCAGGAGACACACGGCACCTCGCAGATGATTCACAGCCTCATCAACTCCACGGGCGCAAAGTACGACGTCTACCACAGCGGCATCCCCGACTCCAATGCGGCGGGCGGCGTCGCCTTCCTCATCCCGAAGTTCGTCCCCAGCAGCGACCAGGACAACACCAAGCCGTTGATCAACTTCTCCGTGGTCATCCCTGGCCGAGTTGCCGAACTGCGCATCCGCGACCCCAGCCTGGTGTACCTCCATATCTACCTCAACATTCATAACCATGATCTCTCCGCAGATGACCGAAGACGGCTCAAGTCCACGTGGCAAGTGGCACTGAATGAAGCTAACAACGATCCTGAACACGTGATGTTCTTCATGCTCGGCGACTTCAATATCTCTGAACTGCCCGCTCGCAATCTACTACGCCCTGTCGAAGTGCCTGCTCACGAACGATACCAGTTCCAGCCCACCCTCTGGAAGCAGCTCTTTCGACCGCTGGTCGAGATCTGCACGCCATCCACCACCCACCGCTGCTACGCGAACAACACCGAGTCGAGCATCGATCGCTTCTTCACCTCCTTCCTGGCACACAATCTCACCCACATTGAGACGATCATGGTTGCCGACGACTCGCCACTCGAACGAAAGGGAATACCTGCCAGTGACCATAAACTTCTTCATGTTCGATTCCGCCCCCGAATTCAACGGCCCCATGCTGAACGAGGCATCCCCGCCTACCCCTTCAACTCCGACTTCTACAAGCTCTTCATCGACAAGCTCTCCGCCGACACCGAGTACGACACGCTCACGCCCATCATCAAGTGGCGCACGCTGAAATCCAACATGACGAACGCTGCGAAAGCCACGCGAGATGCTCTTGCGCGGCTACCGCCTGAAGTTCTTGCACGCGACCATCTCTCGATCTCCAAGGAGGTCAACTCGATGACCGTGAGAAGCATCTCGCGCGCGGTCTGGTACCAGGACATCAAGCTCGCGCGCCTCCTTATCGACACCACCCACCTGGGCTCCAAGCACTTGCAGATCATCATTGACAACTCTACCGACATCCCTTCGAGCAAGGTTTGCCTTATCAGCGCCAACGCCTTCGCCGATGCCGCTGCTGAAGCTCATGCTGCTGTCGCTGAAGAACGTCGCGCCCTCGCTGCCGCACGTGCCCGTGATGCTTATCAACGTCTACAGCGTCAACAAGGGGACAGGTGGCGGAAACGGGCCAGTGAAGCACGCAGACTGGGAGAGCTGTGGAAGCCTTTCTCCAAGCGTCTGGTGCTCGCTGGTATCCGAATTTCGCAAGGCAACTCCTCCGGCACTGCCGAGACGCCGACGGACATGCTCGACGCTATACTAGCGCACGGGGGCCCGATCTTCGCTGACAAACCAGTGAACATCGCCAACATGAACGTCTACCTGGACTCTGTCTTCGCC